CAAAAAATATACATTTTAAATTTCTAATTAAATTTATGATTCATTAATAATTATACTGATTAATAAATTTACAAAAATGACAATCTTATATATAAATTTATATAGATCTTGATAAAATGCAATGAATAGAGATATTCAACAAAAAATAATATAAAATCATTCAAAAATTTATTTGAGAAGAAAAAAATCTAACCTGGTAATATTAGAGAAGTATCGAGTCCAACTAATTATCTAAGTTTCAAATTTTATTAATTATGAATTGAACGCTTATTATGAAAGCTAAAAGGTTTAATTGAAATATTTGTTGAAAATTAAAGTCTCGTTGGAACAATTCACTTATTTTTTGAAAAATGTTAACGTCTTCCTCTTCAGGCAAAATGCTTACATCGCATTCTTCCAATCTGCGATTAAGAGGAACAGCCCAAGCGTGTAAGCAACGCTTCTCTGCCTCTTTAATCAAATTATTCCAGTGCGAAATTATATTTTCCTGTGTAAGAAAGTTTTTCCACACGAAATTCTTAATTACTAATTAATGATAATATTTTAATTTTCGAGGGAAAAAGACCGAATTGACATTCTAAGGAAATTATTACAGATTAATTAACATTTATTACATTTCTGTAATAACTCGTAAATCAAATCTTGCTGCGAATTTTTAAGATAAAATTAACGTTTTCTAACTTTCAATGTATCATGAATCAGGTAGACGATTAAATTATTATAAACAGAAGAGATAATTAAATAATTTCGTGACTAGAAACGTAATTAAATGCTTTAATAAATGTAATTATATTCGAGTTCATCATAAAATTGTTTGAAAACTAAAACGACACGTTTTTTTTTTAACTTATATTATTTAATTGTATTCGAAGAACTCATTAAGCAAATTGCATTACAGTAAATGAAGTTGTTAGCTGCGGAGAAGTCATTAACAATATGTTGCTCTGTACACATCCAGTCCAGGCGAAATTTAAAAGCCGTTCTTTCTCACAATGACAAATAGCAGGTGTCATGATTATCCTTTCGACTCTAATAGTGTTTAAACATAGGTCTACGCATCATTAGGTGAAGCAACGTAACACTGTTAAAAAAAAAAAAAAAAAAAATAGACTTCGATCCCAAGGAATGACCTGTGAAGGACGACACATTTCTGACCTATAAAACTTGCCTTATTTAGAAAAGATATTCTTTTAATATGATTTCTTTAATTGCTCTATTGCGTGAATGGTTTCCAACCTGATTGAATGTTTTTAATTCATTTTCAGATATCATTGAGTAAAAATAAAATTAATTTATTTTCAAAGTGATATTTTCTAATGAAAAAAAAAATCATATATTCATCATTACACAAATTAAATGCATGTAAACTTACTTTTTCTTATTTAAGAGCTATTAAGATTTAAATCAAGTTTTAGACATACAACATTTTGTATGTGTAAGCGGTTTAATATAAAAAGACTATCGTCTAAACTTATTTATTTAGAAATTACAAAAATTACATCTTAAATTTTGTAATTTCTAAACATTTAGCATCATATTCAGCATCTAAAGATAATGTGTAATGCACAATAAGCGATATCAAATTTGTATTAATTGTTTATTTTATAAATATTCATACATTTGATACTTTTTTAAAATAACTTTTAAATAAAATTTTTAAAATTAAAAAGAGTGTTAGAATAGTTATATAAGTTTAAGTAATCATTATTATATAGCAAATGAAATATTTGATAAATAATAATTGTAATTTTGTAACTTTTAATTTATCGACACAAAACAGATTATTTTGGCTTTTATATCCAGTTCTGACCAAGACCAATGAATTGTACTGATTAGCAAAACTGGACACGTCATTGGTTTCTAGTGGATGACATCGGTTGACATAGCAACTCGCTACTATCAGGTTATTCGACCTATCACGTTCGCATTGCAAAATATAGGAGGTCTATAAAAATTTTTTCTTATTATAAAATCTGTTTTTACTTTGTAACATTCTGTCCACGCTACTTAGAATTTTAACTTAATTTAAAATAACTTGATCGATTAAATAATATATTTAATCCATCAAACTATTTTTTCGTGAAATTTGACAATTTTGATATTAGTTTTTAACAATAAAAGCAACATCTTTTTCAATTTTCGTTATATATTTTTTCACGTATGAAAGATAAGTTAACGAATAACCGTAAAAAAAAGGAAATAAATATGCGAAAAAAATCACATTTCTATTAACGTATGGTATATGTCATTCTCCAACAACGAACATATGAATCACGATTTTTAAACGTTATCTGCCCGTTGAGTGTGGCACAATAATCGGATCGAGTGGAGAACGAAGAAATATTAATTTTTGAATTGCTTGACTATCAATAATGAATTTTCCATAAAATCCCTTGTACACAACTGCTCACATTTACCACGATGTAACATCATACAAACCTTAAAATAATAGAATATTTAGGCTATAATTGTTGATGTATTGAACATTCCTATTCCTACATAGAAGCTTTCATCAAATAATTATAATGGGAAAGGAATAAATGTCATCTACATAGTTTATAATTTTTAAGAATTACAACGTACAAAAATTCTGCATACTATTTAAATACATATACGTGGTATAATTCATCATAATTTCCTATTTAGTTTCCTAAAGTCTAATGTTTACTAAATTGCACTCAATTAATTAATATAATTGTTAATAACTCTTTAACAACATTAACTAATTAACTTAAATGTTCCTACGTTTTAATTTTATTTTCCAATTTAACAGACACAAAATTTCATTTATTATTTAGAATAAAAGAAAAAATAACAGGCAATATATAGCAAGGAATAACAATTATTCAATAAGTAGCAAGGAATAACAATTATTTAAACTAAGATAGACTCAAAAATTATATTCTCAATATTAAATTAAATCTTCTGGAATGTATCTTTTATGAATTGAATTAAATAAATCATTTATTTAATTTTATTTTTATCGAACTTGAAGTGTGTTTCGACAATAACTTATGAACTTGTATTGAGAAAATATAGGCTATATGAAATATAGACTTGTAAACATGGCAAGTCTAAAGTCAGGATTTAAAAGGCAAAAGAAATCACGTAGATAAATATTTTTAGAAGCGTAGATAAAACTATTATTAGAAACCAGAATATATTGGTATCATTCATTAATGTTTGTTGTCATTTTCGATAACACGTGCTTTCCTTTTTCAATATCAAATGGGTTAATTAACGAAGGGGGGAAAAAGTAAACAAGAAAAGTCATTGAGTTTATAAAACTTTTAGTAACAGACACTAATTTTTATGTCTAGCATTTTTTAAAAAATAATTTTTCGAAATGGGGAAGAACTAATAAAAATATAAATTCTTGCTTTTAAATTAAAAAAACTCCCCTCGAAGATATCTACTTTAGCCTAATTTTATGCTAGCAGTTGCAATAGTTTAATTAATTTTTTTTAAATGCTATTTAAAATCTAATTTTTTCTCGCGTATCGAATTGTTCTCACGAATAACAAACACAAATGTAATCTTTGTAAAGTTGAATAATTTTGCTAATCTACAAGTTGTCTGGATATAAAAATTTATTGCGTTACGCTAGAGTTACGCTTCAGGTCGTCAACAGAAAACGTGGCGGGTGGTCTACCCTTCTTCTAATCTCGAAAACAAGTTCTATTCCAATCAGTTATATCGTTTATCAGATGCAGAACAAAGGCGAGAACCAATCAGCTTACGAACAACGTTGGAATCTTACAACATTCAAAATCCAGCATGGGGCACGGAAAGGTGGCCGATCTGATCTGGTCTTAATCTCTTTTTTGACCTAAGTGTACAAATTCCCTTGTTGCATGCTGCTGCACGCTCCGTTGGATTCGAATGAATCACAAAACGAGTGACATCATCAAGCTTAAAGGACCGCCTCCATTAATTAAGATTTCGGAGTGTGAATCACGGTGACGCCCTAGCTTAGCTCCTCCCATTTTGTTAACAATAATTAGCTCGGATTCATCTTAACAGACGTAATTAGTAGTCTCCTTTTCTAATTAATAAAAATTATCTTTTGTAAATCTGCCGATAAGACGAATTCTATCGATCACGGACTGTACAGCGAGGGAAAACTTGTAGAAAAATGGGCATAACCCGTAACTAATTTAATATTTCAACTTGTTTAAAGATAAACAAGCAGAAAACTAAATTTTATCAGTAAATTTAATTACGTCTTGAATATTTTTAACTGCGTAGTGTCATTTATTGTTAGGTTTAAGAACACTGGTGAACATTTATTAGCGTTTCACTTTAAAATGACCAATTTCCATTGTGTTTATTGCATCTGTGGTCTGATAATTATCAAGGACGCTCTGCAAGACCGAAAAGAGAATGCTTCTGTTGACGTTGCTGAGCAATTAAGTATTTACTAACGACATGCCGAGGATGAAGGACAAGTTAGCTAAGTGACAATTTGATTGCTATGACACCAAAAGTGACAACTTCCTGTTCGCAACGTAAACTTTCGATTCCATTTTCTCATTTTGAGGGAAAAAATACAAAAATAAAGTCAAAACTAATAATAATGTCTACGTTTTTCCCCTTTATTAAAAATAGATCGGAAGCTTAGTATATAAAATTAACTTGCTTAGGTAAACAATAAATCGATTATTATAAAATTGCTATCAAATGGCAATAAAAAGTTTAAATATTTTACATCCAAATTATAAAATTATATTTAACAAAAATTTTAGAATTAAAATAAGATTTTTTTTTCTTATTTTATAAAGTAAATCTCAATAAAGAAAACATTTAATTAGAAGGATGATCTGATCAAGATGATGATTGTTTATATACACACAATCAAACGAATATTAAGATATAAAATTTTATGATAGTAATTCATTAGTAAAAAGAAACAAAATTAATATAAATTAAAAATAAAAGGTAAAATCTGAAGATGTAAATAATTTTAAGAAGATACCGAAAATTGCAAAGTTTTCACTTACGTATATTGAGCACTGGACCGAAAACACTCGAATCTTCAACCGTGGAACAATTCCAGCGTCTATGACGAAACTGCCATTGACATTCATTTATGCCAAGCCTCGCTCCCCTTCCTACGTGAGCCATGTGGTCCTGATACAAATAGCAGAGCTTCGTCTGGCCACGAGATAGACCTTTCAGCTGAGTACAGAGTGGTTGAGCACCCAACATGTACGCTTGGGGATTCCTCAATATATCTATTCCCTGGATTCCTAAATTCCTGAAAAATCCATTTAAAAATGATTATAATATATATATATGTGAGATCTATCGTAATTATTAAATAAATATAAAATGTTGGGAATATTAAAAATATTTTTCGTGTAATATTTATTTTTTTTTAAAGAACAAATACCTGTTTCTCATTTAAAAATAAACATGCGATATTATAGAAAAGAATAGGAGCGATTTATAGATCTCATTACGTCCTGGAGGCAGTTCACCTGCACGAATTTGACAAAAAAGTTTCGAGCCCGAAGATACAATTATCGCTACTAAAAACACACACGGGTGGTATGCCTATTCAACTGTTGGTGTTTATGTTAGACGCAAACAACCCACAATTATATCGACCAAATTGTGAGTAATTAGACTTCTGCAAACGACAAATGCTTTTTGGTCACGTTATGACGAGAGTCCGGGCCGATACGAACTAGTCTGAAATGTGACTCTTAGGATGCACCTTAGGCATTGCAGATGCTATCGAAGAGAATTCTACAGATCACGGAAGATGATAATGTCATACAGAAATTTTATCTACTCTTTCAACCTTGTATTTCTTATACGAATTTTCTATTTATTTTTAAGAAAATTTCTTGTCTAGCATTTGTAAATTACGAAAATTTATCATATTATTCATATACACTGTAAAGTATAAATTATAATAATTAGATGTTACGATTGTTAAAACTTGTATATAATTTATTTGAATCTGATGTAGAATATTTTGATTAAAATATTTTAAAATTTTACACACAGAAAAATAATCAAACGAGTTTATTACATTTTATATCTTTTAATTCTTTTGATTTTTCACTTGACATTAATAGATATTTGCCTCGATACAATCTTAGAAATCTTTCTAGTCTTTGACAGATGTTCCAATTTCTCACCTAACATATCCTTCATGAAGAGAGGTGGAGTTGTTTAGTTAACCCATCATTTTTACTTCAGAAAGGTCATCCATTCAATTTTTTAACCATATAAATTATATTAGATCTTTTGTCGTGGTTATTTACATTAGATTTATAACCTTCTCTGTCGTGTAAGAAGTAAAAATAGTTGGACAAAGCAACCATTATTTTACAATTATTCTATTTTTGTAGATTATATTTCAAGCAGAATTTTTACATTTCTTCTACGATCAAACAAATTCGATCGAGTAAATACAAAATAATTTTCAGATTTATTTTTTTAATTGATTCACTAAGAACTTGATACAATAATTAATTTATTGAAATAAATAAATAAATATATATTTTTGTCAAATTTACATTAAACACGAGTTGTGAATAAACTCGTGGGCGTACGAGCTGGGGAAAGGGAGCAGAGGGGGTCGAAAATTCAAGAAAAACTGAAAAAAAAACTTGGGCAAAGCCAAAGCAAAAAGGTTAACAAATTATCAAAGCAAATAAAAAATTGGTACTTGTGTTTTTATTTGTGTAAAATTTCAAGAAAGCAAATCCCCTTAAACAAAGTGTCCTTATACGCTCATGACCAAAATGGTAATTGCATATTTTATCTTACGTTATTTATCTAATAATATCAACATTTTACCTTCAATTGTTCAGCAATTAAATAATTATTCATCTTTTAATAAAAACTTTGTACAACAATATCTCTAAGAAGACTGGCTCTAAAAAATTCGGGACAATAGCTATGACATTTATATAGAAATATAGGATCCAAATCGGATAAGAAATTACATCCATCCTCATTCTTAAGCTAGCTATTTCATAGATCTAAAATTATTCTTAATTATGGAAAATATACAAGTATAAGCACATCATAAAAAGCAAAAATTGAACAACTCGTTTACCTAACGCTAAAGATAATTCGCTCGATAGCATTAAGTCTTTGTCGCCATTAATCAAGTTGGCAACACTAACGTAATTGATAGTATTCTCTTCCCTTCTACCTGAAAGTAACAGGGATAGAAATAATAAATGGAGACGACATTCGTGTTTGGGTAAAATTCATTTTCCCTATTCCCTATTACTAGCGACGAACGTAGGCGTAAACGCTATAAATTGCATTTTTCAGTAATAGAGCTTATTAATAATGAGGTCATGAAATAACTTCTTTATAACTCAGTAGTAGGGATAAGTAGCAAATTATTAAACCAATTGTGATGTTTTCAATTTTATATGTAACTATTCAATGTTTATTCTACTGCAAATTTCTTAAAACAGACTAGTATTATTTATATAATTAGAAATTAAATAACTGATTGTTAGATTTAAAAATAATGATATACACAATAAATAATTTTTAAACATTTATTAAAACAATTTCATTTTCTTCAAATTTTAACGTTTTAAATGTATATGATAACATTTACATGTTATCATATACATTTAAGACTTTACAGGAAGTTTGTAGTATCAAAAATAGTCTATTATTAAAGAAAATTTGTATTAATAACCCTAAAATAAATACTTTTCTTTCAGTTAATCAAGTAAAAAAGGGGGGAATAATTAGGTCTTACAGAGTTATATCTCTGTATAGAGCAACCCATAAGATTTTCTGAGGTAAATAGTGAAACGTGAGTTTATTATAATTGGGTCAAACAAGAATTCGTGCCAATTTTAGATTAAATCGCCCATAAAAATGCTAGAAAACATGAATTTATTACTCCTTTATTGCCAGAATGAGTTCACTAACGTCGAAGGTAGCATTTTCAATGAGATGTCACATTGTATACAGGTAGTAATTTTGATAACAGGGACGAAGTCTTCAATTAACTTTTATATTTCTTGATTTTAACTTTTCCGTATGATGTTTTTATTATCAAGTTGGTCTGTTGTGATCACAGCTAATAATATTTTTAATTTAAAATTAGAGTATGTAATAATTTATCCAAAGGAAGATATAAATTATTCAGAGATGCACAGTTTCTTTAGGGACTACTGAAGATGTTTTAGTATTTCTAATTTTAGCCCAAGTATCGAGTGATATTGGTTAGAAGAAGGTGGTGGAGAACAGAAATAGGTAAACCATTTAAACTTAAAAAGTATTTGGGTGGGAGGAAAAGACAGACGTTCGGTGCTTAGCGACAACGACTCTCAGTAAATAACATGACAGATTTGCCGTCATTTCGTCGCAGACGCCATATTTCGTTGTCGTGACGTCACTTAGTAAAAGTGGAGCTTCTACGATCACAAGGTCGGGGCCATTGTTTTCTTCGACCTGACAAGAGCCGTATGTCATAGTAATTTGTACGGTAGTTCTTATCTATGGCTACCACATGGATTGTTTTTTTCCTCGTCCGCTGAACCCAAGAGGTACTGACGGGGTAACTGTGAAGGATCTTTCCATTCCACATGCTTCTAACATGCATCACTTCAAGCAAACTGGTCAAACACAAAGATGAACTTATACATTAACACGATCGGTTGCAATTTAACTATAAAGCTATAAAGTTATCACTCTAAGTATTTCACTTGAAATAAAACGCATCTTAAATTGCAAAAATTCTAGTATTAGATATAATATTCGCAATTTTCATGTATTCTGAAGTTTTTATTTAATCACGCATCAGACTTAGAGATATTGTTATCTACATACATGTCAACATCACAGCAATTATTATATATTATAGATTGAAAAAATATTGAAAATTTCCATTTTATTCACGTTGATTTCAGCGTTTATCATTTAGAAACATTGATTTAGGCTATTACTACTACTTGGCAAAGGTAATTTTGATAAAATTCACTATTGAGATTTTCGTAAGAATAGATATTAACTTTGATTATATAAATGAAGAAAATTGTAAGATACTTATATTTAAGTAAAATTAGAATTATTTTATAGTATTTATAATGATATTAAGCTCTTCTGTATATTTTTCTAGCTTACATTTCAGTTGACACTTCATATATCTTTATATGCGAATAGGTTCCATCTTTCCTCAATTGTTTCTAATATTCAGTTTTAATTTGTCTATTCAATTCTTTCGTCACGTTTGACCTCTTCTTATCTCGCCATTAATCTTCTTTTAACTTAGCCCTATAAAATGATATCGCCTCTGCAAAAGTCCCAGTTAGCACAGTTGGTAAGGTGGGTGACGGTTTTACTACATTAATTTAATGGCTCCTCAAAAAAATTACGAAAATAATAGATAAAAGGTTGTTTCAGTCTGTATAGAAAGAGGAAATAATGTTTTTTATGATATTCCATTAGGGATCATTAATAGGCCCACATAGATTGAACGAGATAATTAGATGTAATTGCGAATCCTTTAATCTAGTAGAAATCCGCACCTACGTTTATCAAGATGGCCCGCATTTTATAGTTTTAATTATAATTTGAGAGGCCAACTAAAACTTATTATCTGAAGACAATAATCGAGAAGAAAAAGATTGTTCATTTGTTATAAATTCCAAATTACAATAATTAATAGAAAATGTTTTTTTATGCAGCTTTAATTTTGAAAAAGTTAAATCTTTGAGCATTTTCAGCAGAAAAGTTGTTTGCTAATAATAGATATTTGAAGAAAAATTACTAACTTGCCACAGGCCTCGATCCATAAGGGATAGAGGGACACATCCCCATTATATTTTTGTACCGGTAAATTGTCTCCGCTTTCAAGATATATACATATTTTAATTTTAAAGCATAGTATAATACAAAAATTAAGATTATAAACGAGTACATTACACCTTATATCTACTCCAATAAGAAATTTTTCTTGCTCATTGTTATGGGTTCCCCAAATCTATGTTATACAAATCAATGAAACTCACAGTATCTATTGATGTTATATAATAAATCTAGGTGTGAATTATTATTTATCGATGATATATGCTGTTTTTAATTAATATCAATTGAAACTATGAAAAAAAAAATTAATAACTATGAAGATCTTTTAAGTAACATTTATATAGCAATTTTTGTTATTCATCATACTGTACTTAGTAGTGCAGAATAGAGGTTTTAGAATTTTATAAGCTAATTATTTGTTTCTAATTCAGATATATCTTTAATTAAAATATATCA